GGAATCAAACCAGTGACCTCTTGGTGCATGGGTTGATGCTGAACCACTGAATCACATGGGTTGGGCCATTTCTCTGAATTTTGACAAGTGTCATCTTATTGGTTTCCAAACAGGCTGTATGCAGTACAAAAAAACACCCCTCAGTCTGAAAGCTTTCAGCATTAAATGTTTTCATTTTACACATTTTTTTCCTGAGAGATGGGTGTGGGTGGGTACTGACAGAATGTCTGTCAAATAAGATTTCATTCACTTTATTATCGCTAGGATGGCTATTGTTCTATAGGTCTATTCAATTATTGTGTTGACAAATACAAATATTCAAGACCTGAGTCCACTGGGGACCTTGATTTATTTTTTAAAGTCATCAAATTTTAATTTTTTGTAATCAGAAAAACTCAATAATTAATTTATTGAAAAATGGGAAGACTTACAGATGCATTTGAAAAGTGACATTTTGATCACATGGTAGGGTGCTGGAGGTGGTTCATACTGGCTTGTGACAACCAATTGTGAAGTTTTCAGGAATGTTGTGAGGCAGTTGACAAAATAAGCCATTATTAAACAGTACATTATATATGTAATTATATCAATGATATTAATACAATTGAATCAATTATATTAATACAAGGTAATAAATACTCAAAACTTGTCACTTTCTAATTATTTTACCACACTCAACCATGACCTACGTTCTTGGCTGCTGTGACACCGTGGTAGAAATGGTGTGCCACCTGGCATCTCTTCCCACCACAGGCAATGGCATGATCGTGGCCTGAAATCAGCCACAGTGGGAGTATTAACACCATGGAAAATGACCAACTCTGCAGATCAGAGCTTTCTTCCACTCTCTTGCAGAGCCAGTTGTTAGATATTTCCCAGCATATTATTGTTCTAATCCCTTCCTCCAGGAGTGTTTGATTTTATACAGTCATATCCTGCATAACAAAAGGGATAGGTTCTGAGGAATGAGTCATTAGGAGCATAAGAGTATACAACTGGCGGCACAGTAGCTTTGTTCACACCAGCATCATCACAAACACACTAGTAATGCATTGCACTCCAATGGCTATAATGTCACTTTGCCATAGGGATTTTTCAGCTCCATTATAATCTTATGAGACCATCATTGTATATGCAGTCATTGACCAAAATGTTATTATGTGGCATAGTCATATGCTTTTGCAACCTTTCCCCCCCCCAGTTAACATCATATATTTTATCTATTCCCATACCATGTATATATTTCTAATTCATATTAACAGTAATAAAGTGTTCTCTATGGGGATATATTGTAAAGCATTACTATTTATAAAAATTTTGCTGTGCTGGTGAGGGTGTGGAGAAAAGGGGACTCTAGTACACTGCTGGTGGGAATGCAGACTGGGGCAGCCACTATGGAAAAGAATATGGTGTTTCCTAAAAAAATTAAAAATGGAAATGCCATTTGATCCAGTGATCCTACTTCTAGGACTACATCCTAAAAAGCCTGAAACACTAATCAGAAAGAATATATGCACCCCTATGTTCATAGCAGCACTATTTACTATAGGTAAGATCTGGAAATAACCCAAGTGTCCATCAGTAGATGAGTGGATAAAAGGCTGTGGTATATTTACACAATGAAATACTATGCTGTAAGAAAGATGTCTTACCCTTTAAGATGGCATAGAGGGACTTGAAGAGTATTATGCTGAGCAAAATAGGCTAGTCAAAGACAAGTACCACACGATCTCATTTATTTATGGAATATCGTGAACAAAATAAGCTGTGGGTTAAAATAGATCCAAAGACATGGAAGTAAGGAACAAACTGACAAATCTCAGAGGGAAAGGGGATGAGGGGATGGGGTGGGCAGGAAGAGATAAACCAAAGAACTTATATGCATAACCAACGGACACAGACAATGGTTTGGGGAAAGCAGGACAGGGGTGGGAGCGGGAAGGAGGGGGGTCAATGGGGTGAAAAAGGGGGGACATCTGTAATACTTTCAACAATAAAGATACACAAATATTTTGCTTGAAAATACCCAAATAGTAACAAGTAAAAACACCCACTATATAGTTAGTATTTGAATGATAAAAAAAATAGAACTCCCTTCCTTTAGTCTCTCCAGCTTTCAAACTCTCCCTGGAAGTGATCAGTGTCCCCAGTTTGTTATATGCCAATAACAAATTTTCTCTAGGCTTATGCCAACATAACTCTCTATAGGCTCATGTACTTTGAGTTTTTGTCAAAAATATCTATTTTATATACTGTGCTACAACTTGCTTTTATCACAATATATTGTAACAATTTTGTAATGATTGAAAGCTTGATCTCTGGGTTCAAATCATGGCTCCATTACTTATTAACTATGTGGCTTTGGATAAGTTACTCTATTCTACTAAATCTCAATTTCCACATCTGTATAATGAAATAATAGTCATATCTCACAGAGTTGTTACCAGGATTAAAGGAATTTAATGCATGTAAACCACTTACAACTATGCTTGGCACATAGAAGGCACTCAGTAAGTATTGACTGTTATAATAATAAGATTATCATGATCAAGTCATTGTATATATACATCGATCTTATTATTTTTAATGCCTGTATAATATTCTTTTTTTTTTTTAATCCTCACCTGAGGACATTTTTCCATTTTTTTGTTCAGATACAGTGGGAGGGAGAGAGAGGAAGAGAGAGAGAGAGAGAGAAACGTCGACATGAAAGGGGCACATCAAGTGGTTGCCACCCACACAACCAACCAGGGCCAGGGACAAACTGCAACCAAGGCACGCGCCCTTAGCAGGAACCGAATCTGGGTCTCTCTAGACCGCAGGCCGACTCTCTAACTGCTGAGCCAAACCGGCCAAGGCCATGTATAATATTATTTATACACAAACGATGATGCAATGAATATCTTTTATGCTATTATTTCTGTAAAACACATTTCTAGAAGTGGGATTTCTGAGTCAAATTGTATACACACTTTTTCTTTATTACTCTTTTTCTTAGCTATTTATTTTGAAATACTTTATAGACTCACAAAAAGTTGCTAGCTAAAATAGTACAGAGAGTTCCTGTGTACCCTTTATTCAGCTGAATGGCAACATTTTACATAATTATAGTATATTATCAAAACCAAGATTGTACATTTTAACTTTTTTTTTAATCCTCACCCAAGGATTCATTCTTTCTTTCTTTCTTTCTTTCTTTCTTTCTTTCTTTCTTCTTTCTTTCTTTCTTTCTCTCTCTCTCTCTTTCTTTCTCTCTCTCTTTCTGTCTTTCCCTCCCTCCCTCCTTCCTTCCTTCCTTCCTTTTCTTTCTCTCTCTTCCCTCCCTCCCTCCCTCCCTCCCTCCCTTCCTTCCTTCCTTCCTTCCTTCCTTCCTTCCTTCCTTCCTTTTCTTTCTCTCTCCTCCCTCCCTCCCTCCCTCCCTCCCTCCCTCCCTCCCTCCCTCCCTTCCTTCCTTCCTTCCTTCCTTCCTTCCTTCCTTCCTTCCTTCCTCTCTCTTTCTTTCTGTTTTGTTTATTGATTTTAGAGAGAGAGGAAGGAGAGGGAGAGAGAGATAGAAACACTGATGAAAGAGAACATTGATTGACCGCCTCCTTCATGCCCCCAACTGGAGATTTGGCCCACAACCTGGGCATGTGTCCTGACCAGGAATTGAACCGGCAACCTCTTGGTGCGTGGGTCAATACTCAACCACTGAGCCACACTGGCCGGGCATTGAGGATATTTTTTCATTGATTTTCAGATAGAGTGGGAGGGAGAGAGGGAGAAAGAGGGAGGGAGAAAGAGAGAGAAACATTGATGTGAGAGAGACACATCAATTGGTTGCCTCCTGCATGACCCCAACCAGGGCCAGGGATTGAACCATATCCAAGGTACGTGCCCTTGACTGAAACTGAACTCACAACTCTTTGGTCCTCGGGCTGATGTTCTAACTGCTGAGCCAAACTGGCCAGGGTGCACATTTTAATAAATGGTACCAAATTACCCTCTTACAAATTTATATCAACTCCTATCAGCAAAGTAGTAGAGTAACTGATTTCTTATATCTCTTCCAGCACTCCAACGATCAATCTATAAAATTCTTGCCAATATGATAGTTAATAATGGTATTGGTATTTCATCTTACATTTTTGTGCTGACTATGAGGTTGAGCATCATTTTCTAATGCTTATTGTCTACTACACTATTTCTGTCCATTCTTCCTGTTTATATTCCTTGTCCAACTTGTAAATAGGTTAGTTGTGTTTTTCTTGCTTATTTGTTACATTTCTGGGGTTGTAAAGTCGCATGTCCCTCAGTCCAGTCCTGGAGGATATGCAGCTTTGGATTCAGTAGTGTTAGAAATAGGGTCAATGTACAGAGTTTCCTCTCTGTGATGAAGCTGGGTCCGATGTGGCATCAGGCTATAGATTCAGTCCATTAATCCGTTGTGTGGAGTCCACATGGCTGTGGGCCATGTGGCAAATGCAGGGCCTGGGAGCCCCATAAGCCAGGAGTCTGGCTCAAGCAGAGAGAGAGAGAGAGAGAGAGAGAGAGAGAGAGGGAGAGAGAGAGAACGAACTTCTTTTTTCTAGTGCATTAAATATTCAGATTTCACATGCTCGCCTTGGCCACACCTATTCTGGTTGCTGACTCTCTCCCAGATGTAACAGACAGGTAAAAGCACCTTCTCATGTCACTCAGACCTTACTGGGCATACATCTAAACTGCCTTTGTCTAGTCCCTTCCCCCATCAATCTGCAGGGAATAAACCTAGAAGAGTGTTAAACTAGCTTTTTGGTAAAGCTGTATAAATGGCATGCCTATATTATCCAGTCTTCTCTTTACTCCTTTCCTGTTAAGTAATAACCAGGTTATTGTAACAGCTTCAGGACATGTTCGAATCTCTCCATTTTTTTTTTTTTTGGTAAACCAGGGAATTTCCAAGCTAACAGGTATTTTGGTAGTTGGAAGGTCAAAATGTGCCCAGCTAATGTACTCTCCCCCCACCTGGCCTGCTGCAGGAGAGGTGAGGTGTGTAAAAGTGTTTGCCAAAGGGACACAGGCCATCTCTGCCTCCAAGGACCGCACGCTGCGCTTGTGGAACTTACTCTCTGGCCAGGAGAAGTTCACCATTTGGGATGGAGGCTCAAAAGATCCCACTGAATCTCAGAGCTGGAGCCTTCACGTGGACGAAGCCAAGAAGGTTGTATATTCAGCATCTAGCTCAAAGGTAACAAAGGTGGCTAATAAAAATTTAGTCACATGTGGCTTGCATTATATTTTTATGGGGTAGTGCATGCTTAAATATTAGAGAAGTGTTGATTTCAAAACTGATTATAGAAATCATCTTTGTTATCAGTAAAAATTTGGAAACAACAGTAAAGGAATTGTGAATAATAGTAGATAATCTCAAAGCTAACCACTGTTAACATTTATATGATTTTACTTTATGTGGTGTGTGTGTGTGAAAGTGCATGTGTACATAAACCAAAATTGGGATAAATCTGTAAGCGTAGTTTTATAAATTGATTTTCATTGGCTCATAACCTTAAATAGTCTTCAAAAAGAGCATGCTTAGTGATTTCATAAGATTCCATTGCATGGCTCCACTATAGTTTATTTAACTAATCCCTTACTGTTGTACATACAAGTTGCAGTGCTTTGAGCTTTCAAGTAACTGAGATAACTTTTCTTATGCATATATTTTCGTGAGTATCTCTCCTTATTTCTTTTACATAAACCCCAGAAGTAAATTATTGGGCAAATGTTTACTATTTAAATGGTTACTGCTGCCCAGCTGGTGTGGCTCACTGGTTGAGCATCGTCCCATGCACCAAGAGGTTGCCGGTTCAATTCCCAGTCAGGGCACATGCCCAGGTTGTGGGCCAATCCCCAGTGGGGGGCATGCAGGAGGTGGCCAATCGATGTTCTCTCTCATTGATGTTTCTATCCCTCCCTCCCTTTCTCTCTAAAATCAACAGATAAAAAAAAATTAAATAAATAAATAATAAAAGGTTACTGCTGATAAAAAGATACATCTTTTGATGAGGTTAAACTGCTTTAATGAACAACTACTTGTAATGGACATATATGTCAATGCATATGGTATAGCTGGCTTTTTTTCTATTTTTAAAACTTTTTTATTAATCCTTACCCAAGGATATTTTTCCATTGATTTTCAGATAGAGTAGGAGGGAAGAAAGGAGGGAGAGAGAGAGAGAGAGAAACATTGACGTGAGAGAGACACATCGATTGGTTGCCTCCTGCCAACCCCAACCAGGGCCCGGGATTGAATCACAAGTGAGGTATGTGCCCTTGACCGGAATTGAACCTGAGACTCTTTGGCCTGCTGGCAGACGCTCTAACTGCTGAGCCAAACCAGCCAGGGCCACTTTTTTTTTTAATCCTTGCCCAAGGATATTTTTCCATTTATCTTCAGATAGAGTGGGAGGGAGAGAGAGGGAAAGAAAGGGAGAGAGAAACATCAACAGGAGAGAGAAACATTGACGTGAGAGACACATTAATTGGCTGCCTCCCGCAGGGCTCTGACCAGGGCCGGGGACAAACCACAACCTTACGTTCCCTTGGCCAGAATCGAACACACAACTTATTGGTCCGCGGGCAGACACTCTACCACTGAACCAAACCAGCCAGGGTGCCAGGGCCATTTTTAAAACATTTTATTTTGCATCAGTTTTAGATTTATGCAAAACTTATAAAGATATTATAAAGAGTTACCACATGCCCTTGATCTAGCCTTCTCTAATGTCAACATCTTACATAACTACATTTGTCAAAACTAAGACATTAAAATCGATCATTTCTATCAACCTAATTCCAGGCTTTATTTGGATTTCATCAGATTTTCCACAGATGTCCTTTTGTTCTTCCAGGATGCAGTTCAGGATACCTCTCCCTGACCCCTTACATTTGGAACTAGCAGAGCGTTGAAAATAAAATGCATGAACCATAAAAAAGAACAGGTCTTGCATTCAACTCTGGAAAACTTGCAGCCTAGGGGTCCTGATGAGTTTTCTCCTCTTTTATCTTTCTATTAGGTTAGTGCTTGGAATCTGGAAACTGCAGAGCTGGTTTTCCATATCCTGAGAGATACGTCCGACCCGTGGATATGCACGGCAGTGTTGGCTTCCCGGGCCACACTGCTGACAGTGTCTGAGGGCAGTGTGCTCAGTCTGTGGAGCTCAGCCACAGGAAAAGTGCAGGGGAAGCAACACTTGTCTGGCATCAAAGAAGAAACACCTACCTGTGGGGTCTTGGTCCAGAAACCAGGACAGATGGTTATTGGGTTCAGCAAGGGCTCCATCTCTTTGGTAAGCAACTTTATTGAATATGATGCCAACATTCACTCAGCTCCAAAGTGTTCACATGTCCTAGAAGTTGGGAGAAACCATCTCACCTCTGATTTTTAAATAAATGACACTGGCTTCCTAATCCTAAAGATTCACAATTCAGCGCCGTTCAGGAAACATCTATTGGTGTTTCCTGGGGGCTGGCTAGCATGGGTAATTGTTGGCACTCAGTCCTGCTAGGGGTGATGTGGGGGACAGTGTAAGAATGTGCTTGAGAGCTGTCCCTACCGAGGAGCCAGGAGCTGGATACTGTCCACCAGCTCCACCAGGGGTTAGACGCTTTCAGGAACATTCACACAGGGGCCAAGTGTGATGGCGGGATGGGGGTGGGGAATCAGAAAAACCATCCAGGTGCAGAGTTGCAGCTGTGAAGTAAGCAACTTTCAGGAATAGAAAAGAACCTTGAGGGGATAAGGATGGGGCACCAAGGGCAAGTCTAGGAGTCATAGAGGGAGAAACAAGGGCACCACACCAGGCACTGGAGGGGCTGGAGGAGGTACAAGAGTCCAGCTGTACCCTCAAGAACTCAACTTAGGGAGGGAGATGAGCTCGCCAATGACATATAGGCACACTAAGAGGAAAAGACTCTGTTTCCAATGGAGATAGAGGTAGTGTGTTCTTGGTTGGGGGAAGGAGCAAATACTTCTGGAAGAGGCAATCTGGGAAGGCTCCCCTGGGGAGGCATCCTTGGAGCAAGACGGATTTCTAAGACGGAAAGGGAAAGATAGAGGGAATAAGAGATATTGTGGTGGTGAAGTAGGACATGCCTGGCATTTTAAGGAAACAGGTCACAGAGGGTCTTTTATGCTCTGGGGAGGAGGAGAGAGTTTGAGTAGGGGAGGAATATGGCCACTAGAGAATCATCCCAAAGCTCCACACTTCTGGACCTCATGGCCTCATAGCCTCTCTGAGCAATCAAGGCAGCAAACCCAATAATGAAAGAGAATCTCGATTCTTTTATCAGATCTCTTGGATGTTTAATGTTATTGCTCCCTTTAATGATTATCTTCAGCAATGTCCTTCAGCCTAGAAAGGAACTTGAACTTTGGGGTTAGACACACCTAAGTCTAAAAATCCCAGTTCTGCTTTTAACTAGTTGTATTCTTGGGCAAGCTCAACCCCTTCTTTGAGCCTCAGTTTCCTCATTTGTAAAATGAGGGGGAGGGGAGAAATAGCATCTACATTCAGAAACAGGACAAGGGATCGATAGATGAGCATCTGCTCAAACTTCCAATCAATAACATATCACTGGAGTGAATTGGAAATATAGTGCTAGTTAAACTCAGATTTCTCCCTTTGTAACTCACCATTGGTGCCCCATCACCATGCCCTCAATTCTGAAGGCTGTCCTTTTATTCCCGAAGGCTGCTGGTCTGTCAATGCCAAGCCTATTGATGATAGTGCCCTTGGTTAGGCAAGCCTGCAGTGCGCACCTGGGCACACATCACTTGTACGGAGCTCTACAAACATGTCCCGCACCAGGGCTTTGTTTATGGCTGGGGCAGCTCTTGTGGTTCTTATTATGATCACAGGATGCACTTCAGTAAGAAATCATCAGGGAACTTTGAGGAACAAGATTTATTACGCTTGAGTTCTAAAGGGTATATGGCACACAGCACACTCAAGGGCCATGCAGTGAGGTTGAGGAGAGAGAGAGATTGAAAGGTTGAAAGAGGAAACCTGGGGCTCTGCATTTATTACAGTCCAAGGATGGGATATAGGGTTTTGTAAGTTTATTCTTTATTGGTGAATTTAAATGGAGAAGTAGGATCACTCAAGTGCCCAGGGCTTTCTGAAAGAGTGGGGATAGCCTAATTCCTTATCTGGTTGTTCTGCCAGTAGCTGTGTCACGCAGCTGGCAATGTGTTTATTGAAGATGGGTGTCTTTTGAAACAATGCCTTGGCAATCAAAAGCTTAATGCCAGGCACTTACACTACAGCTGCTTACAGCACACTTGCAACTGCACCTGTGTGTATTTTTTTTCTTGACTCCCCTACTCTTCCAGCACATTTGGCCACTATATTAATGCTTCTGGGAGTAGTCCTCCCCTAATCACTGATGGAGCTGATGGATAGAACCCCAGGATGAACACATGGTCTACACTCTCTCAGAGCAACCCTAGGAAGACTGAGCTCCATCAGCACACATTTTCTTCCCAGTCTCATTTCTTTACTCTTTGCCAATATTTTGTTTTGTTTTTTTCTTTTCTTTTTTGCTACGTGCCCCTAGTGGGAACTGAACCCAGGACTGTCTGGTCCGCAGGCCGATGCTCCAACCGCTGAGCCAAACCGGCCAGGGCTTTACCAGTGTTTTGTGGGATCAACTCCCAAATAAACTACTTGCATTCAAATACTATTCTCAATGTCAGTTTCGGGGACAATCCATGACAGGTGTTCCTGGAAAAATATAAATTGAGGCAGAGAGCTGAAGGCAGGACTGGAAGGTAATCTCTAGCGCCATCAAAAAGCTGGTGATCAGGCTATAAAGTAGAGAGAGATGTGCTGTGATTAAGGAATAGGGTGGCTGGGGTATAAGGAATAGGGTGTCTGTGGAGTCTCACCAGTACTCAGACACTAGCCCTGCTAGAGGAAAAGTCTTGATACCATCCTTAAAATATTTGGGATAGTAATAAATGAATTTAACTAAAAATGCAATCAACCCCAGATGCAGCTGACGTATAGATTAGGTTGATTCAGACCCCTCCACATTAGAGGCTCAACAGAAAGAGCATGTCTTTTTCTACTAGGCTCTACTGTCCTTTTACATACAGTATCTGTTATATTACAAAAATTATGACACACCAAGAAGCAAGAAAATGGGACCATAATCAAGAGCAAAGTGGGACCATGAACAAGAGCAAACATAGTCAATAAAAGCATACACAGCCCTGGCTGGATTGATTCCACGGTTAGAGCGTTGGCCTGTGGTCCAGAGAGACCTGGGTTCAGTTCCCGCTAAGGGCATGTACCTTGGTTGCAGTTTGTCCCTGGCCCTGGTTGGGTCGTGTAGGTGGCAGCCACTCGATGTGTCCCTTTCACGTCGATGTTTCTCTCTCTCTTCCTCCCACTTTATCTGAACAAAAAATGGAAAAGTGTCCTCAGGTGAGGATGAAAAAATAAAATAAAATAAAATAAAATAAAATAAAATAAAATAAAATCAGACACACAAATGACTCAGATGTTTAAATAATCAGACAAAGAATTCTAAAATGTATATGATAAATAGAGAAAAGTATGGATAATGTGTGAATAGATGGGACTTTCAAAATTTAAGAATCAAAACTAGAGAAAAAGATAAAATGGAAATACTAGAAATAAAAAGGCAATGTTTGCCCAGCTGGTATGGCTCAGTGGATTGAGCATCATCCCATGGACTGAGAGGTCCAAGTTTGACTCTGGTCAGGGCACATACCTGAGTTGCAGCTTGATCCCCAGTAGGGGATGTGCAGGATGCAGCTGATCAATGTTTCTCTCTTATATTGATGTTCCTATCTCTCTTTCCCTTCCTGTCTCTCTAAAAAGTAAATAAAAATGATAAAAATAAAAAGGCAATGTCAGAAATAAAGAATTAATTTGATGGGCTTAAGAGTAGACTAGTCACAGCAAAGAAAGATCAGAAAATTAAGAGCAAGTTAATGGAAATTATCCAAACAAAAATGTAAAGAAAAATAAATGAGGGGAAAGGGAACAAAGCATCTGAGAATTGTGGGACAATGCCAAATGTCTAAAGGACAGTTAGAGTCTCTAAAGTAGAGGAGAGAGGGAGAATGCTGCAGAAGAAATATTTGAAGAGATAATAATCAAGAATTCTCTAAAATGTATGTAAGACATCAGCCCAAAGGTTCAACAGTTCATAGGGCCCTAAGCAGGGTCAAACGAAAAAAGACTTCATTTTTGGTGATAATAACAAACTGCTGAAAACCAAAGACAAAGACAAAAAAATCTTAAAAGCATTCAGAGTGAAAAAGACTCATTACATATAGTAGATAACAATGATAAGAATGACAGCTAATTTCTCATCAGAAATGAGTACAGCAGCCCTGGCCGGTTTGGCTCAGCGGTTAGAGTGTCAGCCTGCAGTCCAGAGAGACCTGGGTTTGGTTCCCGCTAAGGGCACGTACCCTGGTTGCAGTTTGTCCCCGGCCCTGGTTGGTTGTGCGGGTGGCAGCCACTTGATGTGTCCCTTTCACATCGTTGTTTCTCTCTCTCTCTCTCTTCCTCTCTCTCCCTCTCTCTCCCTCCCACTCTATCTGAGCAAAGAATGAAAAATGTTCTCGGGTGAGGATAAAAAAAAAAGAAATGAGTACAGCAGACAGTGGAATGACATCTGTAACTTGAAAGAAAAAAACAAAACCTCTCAACCTAGACTTTTATATCCAGTGAAAATATCCTTTAACACTAAAGGTAAAATAAAGTCATTTTCAGGCAAACAAAAGCTGAGACCATTTGTCTCCAACAAATCTGCACTATAAGAGATGCTTGAAAGAAGTTATTCAGGCTGAAGGGATATAGTACCAGATGGAAGCTTTATGAAGGAAGAGCATCAGAAAAGACAACTAGAAGAGAAAGCACAGCTCAAAGCTGTCTGTGCCCTAGGAATGTCAGAGCACAGGGAAGGAGGCTGAACAAGCAGGTACCCAAAGACTCTGCAACTATTTGGTCCTGGGAAAAGCAGTCTCCTTGCACCAAAGTTCCTGAGTGGTACTCAACCATCACTCTTCATCAAAGCTGGCCCTGAAATAATTTCTTTTTATTACTTTATACCTATAATCAGTTTAGTTCTTTTTTTAAAAAACTTACCTTTATTGTTGAAAATATTACAGATGTCCCCTCTTTTCCTCCATTGACCCCTCCTCCCCACTCCTGCCCCCTCCTGCCTTCCCCATCTTATTGTCTGTGTCCATTGGTTATGCATATATGCATATAAGTTCTTTGGTTTATCTCTTTCTGCTCCCCCTCCCCCTGCCCTTTGAGGTTCCTCGGTCTAACAACCTATTTTTACTTCTTAGTTCCTTTACCTTTTTTGCCTATCCCCCCAACTGTCCTCCCATTTGGCTATCAACACAAAGTTGTCTGTATCTGCTTGTTCATTTTGTTGGTAAATTCAAATGTTGATAGATATGTATTTATTGTCATTTTATTGTGTATATTTTTGATCTTCTTATTCAAGAAGACTCTTCAACAATTCATATAAGACTGGTTTGGTGGTGATGAACTATTTTAGCTTTTTGTTGCCTGGGAAGCTCTTTATATGTTCATCAATTCTGTTTTATTTTATTTTATTTTTCTTTATTGATTTTTAGAGAGAGAGGAAGGGAGAGGGAGAGAGATAGAAACATCAATGAGAAAGAACATCAATTGGCTGCCTCCTGCATGCCCCACACTGGGGATCTAGCCCACAACCCGGGCACGTGCCCTGACCAGGAATTGAACCAGCAACCTCTTCATGTATGGGTTGACGCTTAACCACTGAGCCACACTGGCCGAGCTGTCCATTGATTCTAAATGATAGCTTTGCAGGATAGAGTAGTCTAGGTTGTAAGTCCTTGCTTTTCATCACTTTTAATATTTCTTGCCATTCCCTTCTGGACTGCAAAGTTTCTGTGGGGAATCAGCTGATAGTCTTATAGGAGCTCCCTTGTAGGTAACTAACTGCTTGTCTCTTGCTGCTTTTAATAATCTTTTTTAATTTTTTTTTTTTTTGGTACGTGCCCCTAGTGGGAACCGAACCCGGGACTCTCTGGTCCGCAGGCTGATGCTCCAACCGCTGAGCCAAATCAGCCAGGGTTCTTGCTGCTCTTAAGATTCTCTGTTTATCTTTAACCTTTTGCATTTTGATGATGTGTCTTGGTATGGGCCTCTTTGGGTTTATCTTGTTTGGGACTCTGTGCTTCCTGGACTTATATGTCTGTTTCCTTCACCAGGTTAGGAGAGTTTTCTGTCATTATTTTTTCAAATAGGTTTTCAATTTCTTCTCCTTCTGGCACCCCCATTATGCAAATGTTTGTATGTTTGAAGTTGTCCTGGAGGCTCCTTATGCTATCCTCATTTTGGGGGGATTCTTTTTTTCTTTTTGCTGTTCTAATTGGGTGTGTTTTGCTTCCTTATATTCCAAATTGATGGTTTGCTTCTTGGCTTCACCTACTCTACTATTGATTCCCTGTATATTATTCTTGATTTCAGTTAGTGCATCCTTCATTTCTGACTGGTCCTTTTTAATGTTGTTGATATGCTCACTAAGTTCCTTGGAGTTCTCATTAAGTTTCTTGAAGTTCTCACCAAGTTTCTTGAAGTTCTTACTCAGTTCAGTGAGCATCCTTATAAGCAGTGTTTTGAACTCGGAATCTAGTAGATTGTTTATCTCCATTTAGTTTGGTTCTTTTCCTGGAGTTTTGTTCTGCTCTTTCATTTAGGACATGTTTCTTTGCCTCCTCATTTTGGTTGCCTCCTTGGGTTTATTTCTATGTATTAGGTAGAGTTGCTATGTCTCCTAGGCTTTGTAGGGTGTCCTATTGCAGCACATGTCCTATAGGATCCAGTGGCCCAGCCACCCTGATCACTGCAGCTGGGCATTCAAGGTGCATCCCTCATGTGGACTGTCCACCCTTCCGTTGTAATTGAGTCTTGATTGCTGTTGGCACATCAGTGGAAGGGATTTACTCAGGCTAATCAGCTGCAAGGACGGGCTGTGCCCACAGACTACTGACCTCTGACTACCTTGGAGGATCAGCTGTGCAGGGGCCCACCACACAGAGCAGAACTTATTTCAGTAGGGCGCGGGTACCCACTGAGTCCACCCCTTGAGTGGTTGGGTAGTAGTGTTTCGCCATGGTCTGAAGCTGTCCACTGGGTGTGCTCACTCTGGGGCAAGGTCAGCCACTGCCTGTGTTCTACCCAGGGCCACCAGGAATAAGTTACAAAGCAGTCTAAAGGGGGCTGCTTCTTGTGCCAGGCAAAGCCAAGTTGTGAACCAAGGCTGGCTGCTCCTAGTGCCGGGCCTGGGGCCACTTAATGAGAGGTGTGGGGCTCACTGAGGCCAGATGGTGCTTGTTTGAGAGAATTGAGGAAAATCTGAAGCAGGAGCCAAGACAGGCCAATCCTATGGTAAAGCTGCTGGAAACAGCTTGGGTGGGCCTGAAAGCTGGGTGGGGCGGGGCCTCAGGGAATTACCAGGGCGGGGCTACCAGTGTGAGCCAGGTTGCTGAAGTCTAAGATATGGTGGCCACTGCCGGCCCCATGGGGAAGGGCTCACCTAAGGAACAGTGGCTTCTGCCAGCATGTCTGTCTGGGAGAATGCTGCCTCATCCTGATGCCAAACAACTCAGCTCTTTTCTGTATGTCTCTGGAGTCTTTCAAGTTGCCCCCCCCACACACACACACACTGGAGCCTGGATGGAGCGAATCCAAGTAGGTCCCAGAGCAGGCCCTTTAAGAGGAACTGCCTGGGACTCTAGAAGCCTCAGCTTCCCTCACCCTCAACTCTAGCTGGTTTTTACAGCCAGAAGTTATGAGGACTTCTCTTCCTGGCTCTGGAACCCTGAGTTTGGAGCCTCATGTGGGACGGGGACCCATCACTCCTCAGGGAGGACCTTCACAGCCGAGGTGTCCCTCCTGATTTTTATCCTCCATACCTGGATGTGGGTCCAGCCCATCCACGCCTCCGCCCCTCCTACCAGTCTTGGTGTGGCTTCTTCTTTAATTTCATAGTTGTAGGACTTCCATTCAGCTCAATCTCAGGCAGTTCTGAATGCTGGTTTTTCTGTAGTTTAGTTGTGATTTTTTTTTCCTCACCCAAGAACATTTTTCCATTTTTTGTTCAGAGTGTGAGTGAGGGAAGGAGGGAGGGAGAGAGAGAGAAAGAGAGAGAGGAAGAGAGAGAGAGAAACATGAACGTGAAAGGGACACATCGAGTGGCTGCCACCCGCACAACCAACCAGGGCCAGGGACAAACTGCAACAGAGGTACATGCCCTTAGTGGGAACCGAACCCGGGTCTCTCTGGACCGTTGGCTCTAACTGCTGAGCCAAACCGGCCAGGGCGTAGTTGTGATTTTGAGATGGTTGTGGGAGGAGGCAAGTACCTCATTTACCTACACTGCCATCTTGACTGGAAGTCAGTATCTCTCCAATCTTTTTATTATTATTTTTTTTCCTTTATTGATTTATTTTATTGAGAGAGCAAGGGAGAAGGAAGAGAGATAGAAACATGGATGAGAGAGAACATGGACTGGCAACCTCTTGCATGTCCCCCACTGGGGATCCGGCCCACAACCTGGGCATGTGTCCTGACCGGGAATCAAACAGGCAACCTCTTGGTGCACGGGTCGATGCTCAACCACTGACCCACCCAGGCTGGACTCTCACCAATCTTAATAACCAAAAATATCTCCAGACATTGCTCAAGGTCCTCTGGGGAGACAAAATCGCCTCCTAGTTGAAAACCACTGCCCCAGACATAATTATGTGAAAAAGCAACTTGCAAAACATCTGTGATGGATTGTGAAACAGAGGATGCTGCTGTAAGCATTTATCTATGCAAATGGTCAACAGTCCCTTCTGGGGAGAAGGAAGAATAACAGCGAAGGTGAAAAGATGTTCATGGTGTACACTGGATATTCCTTTTTAAAAAATATCTTATACAGTATCATTGTTGAACTTTTTAAGTTTTAAAAGAATCACGTTTAGCTCAGTGGTTGAGCATCGATCCATGCACCGAGAGGTCACTGGTTATATTCCTGGTAAGGGCACATGCCCAAGTTGTGGGCCAAACCCCTTTTGTGGGGCATGCAGAAGGTGGCCAGTTGATGTTCTCTCTCATTAGTGTTTCTATCTCTCTCTCTCCATTCCTTTCTCTCTAAAATCAATAAAGAAAAATTCTTTTATAAAGAATCACGTTAAAAAAATATAAACAGTTACATCCATGAAGAAATTCCCTTTCTCCTGCACCTGCTAAATAAATGTTGAACAAATATTTTTATTTTTTTTTGAACAAACATTTTAAAATCCTGGCTTGAGTTGGTGCAAAAGACTCACTTTCCTGGGTTGCCTACATGTCCCATTCCCCCAACCCCATCAGATAATCAACATAACCCTTAGGCACAGGGCCCAATGGCAGTCAGGCACTTAAAACTCAGTAGCTGGATAGGGGCTGAGAATCAGGGTTAGTGAATGAATCTTCCTTTTAAATTTGAACAAAATTAACTCATTTCTGCAATTCAGGAATGGGAAGAGCAGTGCTTTCTTCCTGTGGCTCCACCTTGTGTTTTGATTTTATTTGAGATCTCCAGACCTCCTCTGGGGTCAGAAATCAAATGCTAGAATGTTCTCTGGGTCCCTGAGTTTGTTACAACAACAACGTCAACAATAATAATACCTGCCACTCTGGGAGAGCTGACTACGTGCATGGGGGTGGAAAGCAGGGGGACCATGCTACACACTTCTTAGCCCTGTGAGGCAGTCCTGGTATCATCACCCATTTAACAGATGAGGACACTGAGATACCCAAGGATTAAGGAATTAGCCTAGAATCACATTGCCTTGCACATGGTGAACAACAGAGCCCTGCATCAAGCTCTTGACCCTGAGCCCTTAACCCTATGGAAATGCTTGAGGGGAATCTTTGACTTTGTACAGGTTTCCTCCGAAGGAGACAGCCTGATGGAGAAGCTTCCGGAAGCTGTGGGGTTCCTGGTGGTTTCTGAAGACGAGTCCCTTCTTGCCGCAGGTAGTGTTTAGCTCACTGGGGAGTGATAAGGAGAAAGCTCTGGATTTGGTTGGAAGTGAAGAAGGCAGTGTCTTAGACCAGGGATCAACAAACTTTTTCTGCAAATGGTCACATAGTACACATTTTTGCCCAATGCTCTCTGTCACAACTATTGAACCCTGCCCTTGTAATGCAAAGCTGCCCAGATGATATTTCGAGTGGGTATGGCAATGTACCAATAAATCTTTCTTTATGCTGAAATTTGAGTTTCATATTATTTTCATGAATCATGAAATACTAATCTCATTCTGAGTTTTTTTCAACCATTGAAAAGTGAAAAAACTATTCTTAGTTCATGGGCCAGACAAAAAATAGGTGGCCAGCCTGGTCTGGTTTACCAGCTGTCATTTGCCAAACTGTTCTGGGCAAATCTCCTAACCTTTCTGGGTTTCTGGTTCATTATCTTTGAAATGGGAGTGGTTAGATAGTCACAGGGATAGAGCGGGGCTGGGTGAAGGGATGGGGTACACTCAGGGGTAAGCCAGCTCACACAGCCCCTGCTTTTTCGGGGCTTGCAGGCTAACAGGGAAGATGGCACAAGAAAGACAAGAATCAGAGGTCATGGGACTGTGTGACAGGGTTTTCTTCTTTAGTCCGAAGCAGTCAAGGAAGGCTGCCTAGTGGAGGTGACTAACATATGCTCTAGAGCCTGATTTTTTTTAAGGATTAATTTTTTTCAGATCAGTTTTAGGTTCACAGCCAAACTGAGTGGAAGGTACAGAGGTTTTCCATATACCCCCTTAGTCCCACACATGCATAGCCTCTCACATTATCAACATTTCCCACCAGAGAGGTGTATATTGATCATCGATAATCCTACATTGATACCCAAAGTCCATAGTTTACATTAGGTTTCACTCTTAGTTTTGTAGATTCTATGGGTTTGGACAAATGTATAATGACATGTATCCATCATTATAGTCTCATACAGAGTATTTTCACTGACCTAAAATCAGCCCAATTTTTGCAAAGCCATTTCCAGGGGTCAAAGACACTGTAGACCAGTGCTGTCAATAATGCAAAACACAAATGTGAGCCATGTTTATAATTATGAATGTTCTTATGAACTTATTTTAAAAGGTGTGACCTTCATGTTAATAATATATTGTATTTAACCCAATACATCCAAAAATTCAATATGAAATTATCCTCAACTATTTTTTTTTTCCCTTTATTGATTTTAGAGAGAGAGGAAGGGAGAGAGAGAGATAGAAACATTGATGAGAAAGAACATCAATTGGCCACCTCCTGCACGCCCCTCACTGAAGATTGGGCCCACAACCTGGGCATGTGCCCTGACTGGGAATTGAACCAGCAACCTCTTGGTGCATGGGTCGCCACTCAACCACTGAGCCACTCTGGCAGGGCTAAACACTTATCCTCTAAGATCAAATGATGGGTGATAAATTGACATATACTGTCTATCCTGTTTCCAAAAGAATTTCAGGTGGCTTAAGTATGTGTAAAATGTAACACATGAAAGAGGAATGAAAGAAGAAAGAAAAACAAAGGTAGAGGCACAAAATAGCGTCAGGACTGAGGCCACACACACTGAAGAGCTCAGTGATCTAAATGCTTGTTACAGATCACCTGGCCGAGCGGCTCAGTTGGCTGAGTGTTTTCTGTGCACTGAAAGGTTGCGGGTTCCGTTCCCCGTCAGTGCACATACCTGGGTTGCAAATTTGATCCCCAGTCCGGGAGCATACTGAAGTTAACCAATCGATGTTTCTCTCTCTCTTAGCATGTCTTCAGGTGAGGATTAAAAAATAAAAATTAAGAAAAAAAAAACAAAGCTCTTTCCAGCAGCCAATGAGAAGAAAAAGCCTGGACAGTTTCTCCATTCACAGTTTTAAGAACCAAACTGTTGGTTAGGAGTTGTAATCCTTATTTTCCCACCTCCGTGCTAGGTTCTCTCAACACAACATTCACCCAGATCATATTTGGAACGCAAATGAGCAAATCCCCTTGGGCAGAGTTGCCAGATAAAATACAGAACTCCTAGTTAAATTTCAGATAAACAGCAAATCAATGTTTTAGTATATAGTAAGTATATTTCACACAATATTTGGGATATACTTATACTAATAAAAACGTTCATTATTCATCTGAAATTCTAATTTAACTGGGTGTGCTGTTGTCTTGCTAAATCTGGCAACCCTTTCGCTCATCTCCTCCTCTTTCACTGTGCTCCATCTACACCGGCCTCCATGCTGCTCCTCAGACACACCAATCCTCTCCTGTCTCCTGGTGTCCCATGCTGTTTCCACTTTTCCAGTGCCTGTCACCTCCTCCCCCCTCTAAAGTCAGCGCACACGTCCTGGGGCTGCAGTTAACTACTACACAACTGTGGTTGCTTAATGCAACAGGAATTTCTTCTCTCACTGTTCTAGGAGCCCAGAGTCTGAAATCCCAGTGTTGGCAGGGCTGGCTCCCTCCACAGGCTCTAGAGAAGAACCCTTCTTGACCTCTTCCAGCTTCTGCCTTGTGATTCCCTGACTTGTGGCCACATGCTAGTCTCTGCCTCCGTCTTCACAGTGCGTTCTCTGCTACGTGTGTCTGCGTAGCATTTTCTCTTGGCAGCCAGTGCCCTGACCTCATTGCCTTTATCACAAATTGTAATCGTTATATTTTCCTTCCTTCCTCCCTCCCTCTCTCCCTTCCTTCTGCTCTCCTTTTCCTTTTCTTCCTTCTTTCCTTCATTCCTTAAAACATATTTACTCTGTGTCCAGCTTTGTGCTGGGTTCTGGAATATCATGAGCAGCTTAAATAGGCAGTCCCAGTCCTCGGGAAACTCATTGTCTTCTGATAATAAATAACTTCACTGTTTTTCTGTGAGATTATTGATCACTGTCATCCTCCCTGCCCCCAGTGGCAAGCTCTGTGAAGATGAGGGCTGTGTCTGTTTTGCTCACCATTGTGTTTCTTCTACTGGCACATAATAGGTGTTCAAAAAACTCTGTTAACTAAATTGAATTACTCGAGCTCCTCCAGGAATGGAAGGCATTACCCTGGTCCCTGCCATTTCAGGCTTTGGAAGATCTGTGCGGATATTCTTGGCCGACTCCCAGAGGTTTCATCGATTCATGGCCACTGACCTTGAACATGAAGACACAGTTGAGACAGCCGTTTTTGGTCCTGAGAACAATCTGATTGTCACTGGATCCCGGGATGCACTCATTCAGGTGAGGGGGAGACCTAGGGCCTGTCATCCTCACTTCTACCTCTGAAATAAAATATATGATTTTTAGGGACCTTTGAACTTCAAAATATAGAAACTCACAAAAATGACTGCAGGCTAAACAGGGTAGGTCATTGGGAGGATAAGAGGGGTCTCTTAGGACCCAGTGACAGATCTGGGGGAACTGCCAAATATTCAAGGAGATAGCATTCCCACTGAACCTGAAAGACTAGGAGAACTTTGACCTTTAGAGTGGAGCAGGGTCTGGGGGAGGGGAGGAAAGTTTCTGTTAAGCTCAAAGTTCTCAAGGTTCGTTCTCCAAAGTTCTGGTCTCAGGATATCTTCACATTCTTAAAGATTATTGAGACTCCCCCACCTACCGCAAAGTGCTTTTGTGGATCATATCAATTTGATTTATATATTTTTAACAACTGATTTACTTTGAAATAATTTTAGTATTTACAGAAGAGTTATATCTAAGAGAGTCCCCAAATATATATCTACTGTTCACCCCACTTGCCTACATTCACCTCTCATATTACCTCGGTCCCTTTATCAAAACCCAGATATTAACTCTGGAATAATACTCTTAGCTGATCTGCAGGTTTTGTTCCAATTTCACCAGCTTTTCCACAACTTTTCTATTTTCTATTCCAGTATCCAATTCAGAATCCATCATTGTATTTAGTATTTATTGATTATTACCATATTAAAAATTAAAAATGAGAAAATCCCAAAATACTTATCCATTGATTCATTAACATGACATGTCAACATAATAACATACTTTTATGAAAATAACTACTTTTCTGACACAGACCAAAAAACTTTTCAGAAGGGTGTCACTGTTTCCCATGTTGGCAAATCTCTTTCACGTCTAGTTCAATAGGAGACTATTGGACTCTCCTGTTTGATTCTGCATGCTCCTATCTGTTGTAATATTGTTGTAACAAGTCAGCAAGATAGCCAGAGACACACAGCCAAATTGTAAAGGAGCACTTTATTACACCGGTGGACTGAAGGGGGCCTCTCCATAAATCGACAGCCCCGAGTCTTCTTTGTTGCCCGCTATTATTTATTTATTTTTTATTAATTTATTTTTCTTACAGATGTTTCTCCTTTTTCCCCCCATTGACAGCCTCCTCCCCATCCCCCCCACCCCCCCGTCCCTGGCTTTGTTGTCTATGTCCATCAGTGATGCGTACATGCATATAAGTTCTGTGGTTTATCTCTTCCCTCCCCCCACCACCCCCTCTTCTGACGGTTGTCAGTCTGTACCCTACCTCCACATCTCTGAATCTATGCAATTCCTCAGACTGTTATGTTCATTATATTCCACAAATAAGTGAGATCATGTGATATTTGTCTTCCTCTGCTTGGCTTGTTTTGCTTAGGATAATACTTCCCAGGTTCCTCCATGTTGTCTCAAAAGATAAGAGATCTTTCTTTCTTACAGCTGCATAGTACTCCATTGTGTATATGTACCACAGCTTTTTTATCCATTCGTCTACTGATGGGCACTTGGGCTGTTTCCAGATCTTAGCTATTGTAAATAGTGCTGCTATGAACATGGGGTTACATATATTCCTTCTGATTGGTGTTTCAGGCTTCTTAGGGTATATTCCTAGAAGTGGGATCACTGGGTCAAATGGCAATTCAATTTTTTATTTATTTTTTAACCCTCACCCGAGGACATTTTTCCATTTTTTGTTCAGATAGAGTAGGGGGGAGAGAGAGAGAGACAAACATTGACGTGAAAGGGACACATGGAGTGGCTGCCACCCGCATGACCAACCAGGGCCAAGGACAAACTGCAACCAAGGTACATGCCCTTAGCGGGAACTGAACCCAGGTCTCTCTGAACCACAGGCCAACGCTCCAACCACTGAGCCTAACTGGCCAGGGCCAATTTTTAATTTTTTGCGGTAACACAGTAGTCTTTTCCATAGTGGCTGCACTAGTCTGCATTCCAACCAGCAGTGTACTAGAGTCTCCTTTTCTCCACACCCTCGCCAACACTTGTTGTTTGATGATTTGTTGATGGCGACCATTCTAACAGGTGTGAGGTGATACCTCATTGTTGTTTTAATTTGCATCTCTCTGATGATCAGTGATATTGAGCATTTCTTCATATGTCTCTTGGCCATTTGTATGTCCTGTTTAGAGAGGTGTCTTTTTAGCTCCTCTGCCCATTTTTTAATTGGGTTCTTTGTCTTCCTTTTGTTGAGTTGTATGAGTATTCTATATATTTTGGAAATTAACCCCTTATCTGAGATATCATTGGCAATTATGCTCTCCCATACAGTAGGTTGCCTTTGCATTTTGATGGTTGTATCTTTTGCTGTGCAGAAGCTTGTTAGTTTGATGTAGTTCCATGTGTTCATTTTTTCCTTTGTTTCTGTTGCCTTAGGTGATGTATCAGTGAAAATTTTGCTGCGTGTGATGTTCGAAATTTTGTTGCCTACATTTTCTTCTAGAATTTTTATGGATTCACGGGTCACATTTAAGTCTCTTATCCATTTTGAGTTTATTCTTGTGTATGGTGTAAGCTGATGGTCTAGTTTTAATTTTTTGCATGTAGCTGTCCAATTTTCCCAACACCATTTATTAAAGAGGCGGTCTTTACTCCACTGTATGCTCTTGCCACCTTTGTCAAATATTAATTGAGCATAATGTCTTGGGTCCATTTCTGGGTTCTCTGTTCTGTTTCACTGGTTAGCTGCCTGTTCTTGTGCCAGTACCAGGCTGTTTTGATTACAGTAGCTTTGTAGTATAACCTGAAATCTGGTATTGTGATCCCACCTACTTTGTCCTTCTTTTTCAAGATTGCGGTGGCTATTCGAGGTCTCTTTTGGTTCCATATGAACTTTTGAAGTATTTATTCTAGTTCTGTGAAATATGTCATTGGTATTTTGATGAGAATTGCATTGAATCTATAGATTGCTTTGGGTAATATGGACATTTTAATGATGTTAATTCTTCCAATCCATGAACAAGGTATGTGCTTCCACTTTTTATATCTTCCTCTATTTCTTTTTTTCAATGTCCTGTAGTTTTCTGCAAATCGGTCCTTTACTTCTTTGGTTAAGTTTATTCCTAGGTATCTTAATTTTTTTGCTATGATGGTAAATGGGATTGTTTTTTTAGTTTTTCTTTCTGTGAGTTCATCATTGGTGTATAAGAATGCCGTCAGCCCTGGCCAGTTTGGCTCAGCGGTTGGAGCGTCCACCTGCGGTCCGGAGAGACCGGGTTCAGTTCCCGCTAAGGGCATGTACCTCGGTTGCAGTTTGTCCCCGGCCCTGGTTGGTCGTGTGGGTGGCAGCCACTCGATGTGTCCCTTTCACATCGATGTTTTCCTCTCTCTCCCTCCCACTCTATCTGTGCAAAATAAAAATAAAAATAAAAATAAAGAATGCCGTCAATTTCTTGACATTAACTTTGTATCCTGCTACTTTGCCAAATTTATTTATTAAGTCTAATAGATTTTTGATGGAGTCTTTGGGGTTTTCTACGTATAGTATCATGTCATCTGCCAATAATGACAGTTTCACTTCCTCCTTTTCAATTTGGATCCCTTTTATTTTTATTTCATGTCTGATTGCTGTGGCTAAGACTTCCAGTACTATGTTAAATAAGAGTGGTGAAAGTGGGCATCCCTGTCTTGTTCCTGTTCTTAAGGGAAATGCTTTTAGTTTTTGCCCGTTGATTATGATGTTGGTTGTAGATCTTTCATATATGGCCTTTATTTTGTCGAGATATGATCCCTCTATTCCCACATTGCTGAGCATTTTTATCAGAAATGGGTGCTGGATTTTGTCAAATGCTTTTTCAGCATCTATTGATATAATCATGTGGTTTTTATTCTTCATTTTGTTTATGTGGTGTATCACATTTATTGATTTGCAAATATTGTACCAGACTTGCATCCCTTGGATGAATCCCACTTGGTCATGGTGAATAATTTTTTTGATGTATTGCTGGATCCGATTTGCTAGTATTTTGTTTAGGATTTTGGCATCCATGTTCATCAGGGATATTGGCCTGTAGTTTTCTTTCTTTATAGTGTCTTTTTCTGGTTTTGGAATTAGAATTATGCTGGCCTCATAAAATGAGTTTGGAAGTCTTCCTTCTTCTTGAATTTTTTGAAATAGTTTGAGGAGAATGGATGTTAGTTCTTCTTTGAATGTTTGGTAAAACTCCCCTGTGAAGCCATCTGGGCCTGGGCTTTTGTTTGTTGGGAGAGTCTTGATTACATCTTCAATTTTCTTAGTTGTTATTGGTCTGTTCAAATTTTCTATCTCTTCTTGGTCCAGTTTTGGGAGACTATGTGTTTTTAGAAATTTGTTCATTTCACTTAGATTGTCGAATTTGTTGCCATATAATTGTTTATAGTAGTTGTTGATGATCCTTTGTATTTCTGTGGTGTTAATGATCCTTTGTATTTCTGTGGTGTCAGTTGTTACTATTCCTCTTTCATTTCTGATTTTGTGTATTTGGGTTCTCTCTCTTTGTTTCTTGGTGAGTCTAGCTAAGGGTCCATCAATTTTGTTTATCTTTTCGAAAAACCAGCTCTTTGTTTCATTGATTCTCTGAATCTTTTTTTTTTTTTTTTTTGTCTCTATGTCATTTATTTTTGCTCTGATCTTTACTATTTTCTTCCTTCTTCTTGCTCTGGGGTTTTCTTTTTGTTTGCTTTCTAGTTCTTTAAGTTGTGAGGTTAGATAGTCTATTAGAAATTTTTCTTGTTTCTTGAGGTAGGCCTGTAGTACTATGAACTTTCCTCTCAGAACTGCTTTTGCTGCATCCCATAAATTTTGTGTTGTTGTGTGTTCATTTTCATTGGTTTCCAGGAAATTTTAAATTTATTCCTTGATCTCCTTGGTAACCCATTCATTGTTTAATAACATGCTATTTAGCCTCATGTGTTCCAATGTCTTTGCATGTTCTTGTTGCAATTGATTTCTAGTTTTATACCATTGTGATCTGAGAAGATGCTTGATATGA